TTTCCCTGGGATCAAATTGACTAAAACTCTTATGTTGTATTGGTTGTTGGTGTATTAGAAAGACTGCTATTGAAAGGTCAAATTTGAACTCCAGAACTATTGTATCATATTAAGTATATGGTAAGGTACCTTGACTGGGTAAAGGCATACACTAAGTGTAAGTTTACATGACTAGAGTGACCTCTCCAATCCATGGGACATGCCTCTTTGTACTCTTTCCGGTATAAACTTCCAGTCTTCCTGCCACCCCTGTTGTTCAACACTGATTTGTTCTCTTCTAACCAAAAATTGAAGCAGAAACTTGTAGAGAAACAATAACTGTAAAAGAGTTTTTAATTTGTAACAAAAGTTTACCTTTTGTGCTAGAAAAATTGTAACTGGTTATTGTAGGTGCTATGGTGACATAAAAGATGATAATTTGTGTCTTATGGATTTGTTATTAGAACTGATCAAAGTGTTTTATGTGCTGCAGGTGCTAGTTATTGTAGAATATCATAAGGTTCTGCTTAAGCAGAGCTGAAGGGGATATGGGTTGGTCCTCTTTTTGTGAAAGAAAATGGATGTTTAAGATCAATTTGATGGTAACAATGTATGAGAATTTCTTTCTTACTAAAGATGACCTATGAAAATATACTTCATTCCATATGTATTAGTTATTAAATTGGATGGATTCTACCCTAAGAGGATGGCCTATGGACAAGTTAATAATTATTATACAACCATTGACTTATGTATTTTTTTCCAATTTATATTTGAAATTTTCATATATTTTAATGCAAAATTTTAATTTTTATTTCATTGTGCTTTCCATGTTGAATGCATATGTAAGGAGTAACAAGCATGGATGAAGATATTTAAGATTGATATTTTTCATTCTTATTGTAGTTTATTATATGTAATAAGATAATTGTCATTTGTGATACATTTTTTACACTTTGATGTATAGAGATTATATTTTCATGTACTTTTAGTTTTAATTGATATATTAAACTTTTATATAAATTTATTTATAAATTTGATATGATGCAAAAATAAAACATGTTATCTCTCATACATGTTACATGTTGGAGAAGTCAAAATCTTATAATCATAGAAAAGACTTAACTATAAATTACCAAAATCAAATATAGTGATAAGCAAACTCATCATTATAAAGGCTTAAAATCTGATGTAGTGACGGACAAAAGTGTTATTATAGAGATACAAAATCCAATAGGGTAACGGATAAAACTATCACTATAGAAATTTGAAACCTAATATAGTGATTGAAAAATTGTCACTATAAATATTTAGAATTTAATAGTGATGGATAAAATTGTCACCATAAATACTTAAAATTGGATATAGTGATGTCTAAATAGTCATTATAGGTACTCATAAATTAATATAGTGATAGACAAAACTGTCACTATAAATATATATAGTGGCGATCTTGTATTGTTTGTTATTGTAGCAAGACTCTAGCTATCATTATAAGTTTAAATTAGTAACGAATTTTGAATTCTATCACTATAGATATTATCTATAGTGATGGTTATATATTGTTTGTTACTATAGTAAGATTTTATAGTGACGAATATAACCCTCACTATATGCCACATTTTAGCAACGGATTTTGAAATCTGCCACTATAGGCTATAGTGACAGATTTTAAGTCTACTGACGGATTTTGTTCATCACTATAACCCTTTTTTCTTGTAGTGTTATTGGTGATTTCTCTCTTGCAGAACAGGGAAAGTACTCTACCTTGTTGTCTATCATCCCTCATTGTTGATACTCGTAGTATGGTTTAACAATTCCATTCTATCTTCTTTGTCTTTAAGAGGCGTCAATTTAATACTGCAACTCACTTGCTAGCTAGTTGCATCAATGCTTGGTTTTGAGTGTATGGAGGAGTGGTGTGTCTATCCCCCCCTTGTTGCATTGTTTCTATCCTTTCTTAATAAATTACTAGCGGAGGAGGCCCTGCATTGCAGTGGCTCGCTCATAAACTATTAGGCTCGAGCTCGATTTGAATTTGAGACTTGAGCTCAAGCTCGAGCTCATCTCGACTCAAAATCTCGGAAGTTTGAGCTCGGTTACCTTTGATTGTAGGTTTCTCAAGCAGCCGAGGTGTCGAGCCGAGGTCTCCCTTAACTTCCGAGGTGCCAAATCGAGGTCTCCCTCATCTGCTGAAGTGTCAAGCTGAGGTTTCCCTAGCAGGCAAGGTGTCGAGCTAAGGCTTCCCTTAGTTGACAAGGTGTTGAGTTGAGGTCTCCCTTAGTTGTTGAGGTGTTGAGCCGAGATCTCCCTCAGTGACCGAGGTGTCGAGCCAAGGTCTCCCTTAGTGGTCGAGGTGTCGACTACCTTTGGTTGTAGGTCCCCTAACAGTCGAGATGCTGAGCTGAGGTCTCCCTCGGTTAGAGAGAGTGGCATTCTTGTAATTTATAAGGAGAGAGAGAGAGAGATGACACTCTTGTAATTTGTAAGAAAGAGAGAGAGAGAGAGAGAGTCGTATTCTTTTAATTTGAAAGAATACAAAAAGCAAATGAGAGAGAGTTGGTAGAGAATGTCATTCTTGTAATTTCAATGAAAAAAAGCAAAAAATACTATTAGATTCCATTTCCCTCATCATCATGCCTTCTTACGTAAATATTTTAGCTTAATATATTTACTAGTAGAGGGGCCCTACATTGCAGGGGCTCGTTCATAAACTATCAAGCTCGAGCTCAATTCAAATTAGAGACTTGAGCGCAAATTGAAGCTTGACTCAAGTCAAAAGCTCAGAAGTTCGAGCTCGGCTACCTTTGGTTACAGGTCTCTCAAGCAATCGAGGTCTCCCTCAATTGTCGTGGTGCCAAATCGAGGTCTCCCTCAGCTACTGAAGTGTCGAGTTGAGGTTTCCCTAGCAGGTGAGGTGTTGAGCTAAGGTCTCCCTTAATTGACAAGGTGCCAAGCTGAGGTCTCCCTCAGTTGTCGAGGTACAGAGTTGAGATCTCCCTCAGTGACCGAGGTGTCGAGCCGAGGTCTCCCTCAGCGGTCGAGGTGTCTTTTAGCTCGAGCTCGATTTGAATTAGAGACTTGAGCTTGAGCTCAGAAGTTCGAGCTTGGCTCGACTCGAACTCGACTATACCTTTGATTGTAGGTCCCCTAACAGTCGAGATGCTGAGCTGAGGTCTCCCTCAATTGGAGAGAGATTGGCATTCTTGTAATTTATAAGGAAAGAGAGAGAGAAAGAGATATGACATTCTTGTAATTTGTAAGAAAAAGAGAGTTGGTAAGAGAGAGTGGCATTCTTGTAATTTAAAAGAAAAAAAAGCAAAAGAGAGTTGGTAGAGAGTGGCATTCTTGTAATTTCTATGAAAAAAGGCAAAATATACTGTTAGATTCCATTTCCCTCATCCTCAAGCCTTCTTACATACACATTTCAGCTTAATATATTTATATAGATATAGATCATTTTCAGTAGTCAAAAGAAATCTCAAACCATCTATCATGGTAGAATTCGTAGTGGACTACGTAGAGACATGCACCATACAATATGGTTAGGACTTGGGATGTACTGTGGGATGCGTGTGAGCTGGTATTCTCAGTGGGAATCCTATCCGAACTTGTTGTATACAAATGGATTGAAAAAAAATCAACTCTATTAAATATTAAAAAAAACACTATTAAATGAACCTCAACAAATTGAATTGGGACACATTAACATCTCACCATGCATTAGGAACATCTTCCGTGAATAATAACATATAAGTACATGAGATGTTCCCAATACATGGTGGGATGTGCTTGTGAAGTCAGTGTGAGGCGCCCTATGTGAGGTGCAAATCCGATCTCCAATAAGCTGCACTTATCAATGGTATATGGTCACATCAAGGTTCAAAATATTGTTACATATTGGTCCGTGTCAGCCAATATATATCGTATCGGGGCCTTCCCGATATGCCCCTATAGGAGTTGTATAAGGTCAAGGCCTAGTTTAGAGGGTAACCGGGATTTAAACTGACTCCTTTGAACTAACTTTAAAAATAAAAAATAAATAAAACTTAAAAAAAAGGACCGTACCTATATCAATACTTTGAACCTTAGGCTCTATTTATAAGGATTACAAATACAAATATGTAGAATGCAAAACGTTATATTTTGTATTATTTTGTAAGGATTTGTACTATACATATTTGTATTTGTATTCATTCCAAATTAAGCTTTAGTCACATGCACAAAGGTCGTAAGGCTCAGTTTGGAAGGAGTGCAAATACTAATATGTAGACCATGTCAAGGAGGTGATTATTATTAAGTTGGACCTTAATTCTAGCATGATGCAGTTAGAAATTTTCAAGTTAGACAGTTCTTAATCCTAATGTTGTGTAATATGTTGCAGCTTTTAATGGGGATTAATTTAATCTATTTCATCATCCATGCGTGATAATAACAAATTATAAGGTGACAATGACTTGTATAAGAAATTACAGGTCATGCAATCTTACATTTGTGTACAGCTCCTGGCTCTTAATCTCTTATACAGTCCGAGTCATAATAATAATAATAATAATAATAATAATAATAATAATAATAACTATTTAAATAAAAAGAAAAACAATATATAGAAAACGTCTCCCCCTATATACAGTGCTGACTTTTTTGGGATAGAAGAGGAAATTTATTAAACCAAACAAGAGAACATACAATATTGTTGACTCGATCAACAATTCCATGCGCTAGGATTGATTCGTTCTGAATGTGCAGCTGCCTGCTGGTTTCCAGAGACAGAAAAAGCATGTATTAAATGAATTTCGTTGAAAGTTTGGCAACAATTGGAGATGGACTGGGTCCCGGTCAATAATTAATAATAAAAAATGAGAGTATATATGCTGCGACTTCCCTATGACCATCCAATAAAAACACCGTAATGTGAATTTGAAACAAAATAAATCAATAAAAAAAAAAAAGGCAGAATGAAGGTGAAGTGATAAACCACCCAAAGGCTACATTATTCTTTACAAGGGAGTAAAGGAAATTAACCACATGGGAACAACTATGGCTCTGTTTGTGCTGCTGCTTCAGCTGCTCTTTCTATGGCCGACGGTGGCGGCATCGCCAACTGTATCCATGTCAAAGCCCGGGTGCCAGGAGAAATGTGGGAATATCACCATTCCCTACCCATTTGGCACCGGCGATGCAAGCTGTTACAGAGATATGTACGATGTAACCTGTAACCACTCTTTCATCCCTCCCAAGCTGTTCTTAGCAAACGGCAATTTAGAAGTTCTGGAGATATCGCCAGGAGGCCAACTGCGCATCAATGTCACCGTAGGATATCAATGCTACAACTCTAAGGGGAACTTAACTAGTGAGTTGCCCACTTGGGTGGATTTGACTGAAAATAGGCCATATACGTTTTCCGACAGTCGCAACAGATTCACGACTCTTGGTTGTGACACCTACACCTACGTAACTGGCTCCAAGGGCCGCAATTTCACAAGCGGATGTGCCATGGTTTGCAGTGACCAACAAAGCGTGGTCAACGGGTCCTGTTCAGGCATCGGCTGTTGCCAGACGTCCATCCCAAAAGGTTTCAAGAAGTTCGATGTGGAGCTCCACAGCTTCGACAACCACACCAAGGTCTGGAATTTCAATAGATGCAACTACGCTTTCCTGGTCGACTACGAGTGGTATAACTTCACAGTATCAGATCTCTTGGAATACAATTTCTATTATGAAAATGGAGGAAGTGTGCCCCTTGTGCTCGACTGGGCGATAGAGAACCAATCCTGTAAAGATGTTTCTAGGAGAAACAGTACCAGTTATATTTGCGGCAAGAACAGCGAATGCTTTGACTCCCCTAATGGTCTCGGGTATCTCTGCAAATGTTCCCAAGGCTACCAAGGCAACCCTTATCTCGATGACGGATGCCAAGGTTACATACGTGTTGTCTTTTGTCTTCTAAATCAAAATTTCAGTAGATTTTTCATGAGTTTGTGGTCTAATAAGGTTCTAATATAAGCTGATTTGAATTGGGTTTCAACAATGGGTTGCAGATATAGATGAATGCGCAGATCCAACTAAGAACGATTGCAAGGCTCCTGGAATTTGCATCAATACGCCTGGGAGTTACAACTGCTCTTGCCCACCTGGTACCGAGGGGGATGGAAGGAAAAATGGACTAACTTGCATAGCTCCAGTGCGTGCGATGAAGCAATCGCAGCTGATACAAGTAACCGCAGGTAATAAAACCCACGTTCTTAGTATTCCGAGATCTAACTGAGGGATTGCGGGGTCTATACTCTATGCCCAAAATCGATATGATCCTGCTTCCGTATCAAACTCTGGCTCTGCCGTGAGTTCTTTGATTCTAGATGGCCAGACTCCAGCCATCTTTCACTTTCACTATCGATAGACGTAAATTATAGCCCAGAAGATTAGGCGAGAGAAGATGATAACAATTAACAATAATGTTGTTATGCTATGCAAACCGGATTTCCTGCCCACTACTCTCTATCCGCCGTGAATTGCATGGCGATCTTATATGTACCGTGGGTAAGGCACGGGTAGAGAAAATCCTTAAATTCATCCCGAGTAATAGAACTAGAACTGTAAATGAGGCCGGCACAGCCCCGGCGTGACATGTACCAGGCATGGCCTGGTCAATTTAGCAATCGGGCCACAGACCACTTCATATATTGCCTGGGTTGTGTTGGGTTTGGATTTTGAGACCTCCGTACGTGCTGGCATGCGGCACGATCGGCTATCCCCTGTTTTACTTGTATTTTCACCGGTCTGTCTGGTTCCTTATATTAAAAGTGAACGAGTTTTAATGGATAGTAACAGGCTCTGTTTGGGCCAATATTCTAGCCTCCAAGCATCCTTCAAACGTGTCTGCCGGTAGAAAACTTTGAGGGATGCTTTCATCTTTAAATCTAAAGTCTGAAATTTGTTAACTTAAAGCTACCCGAGTGGAAGGCTTTTTCATTTTTTTTTTTTTGTTTTGTTTTGACAAGGATCATATGGCAGCATAGCCGAGGCTTAATATATATATATATATAGCTTCAAGTTCTTTTAACATTTTGAATTAAAATTTATGGACCTTAATTAATTTGTTTCTTTAACTTGTAAAGACACCATTATATGCTAAGACTCATTTCTGTGTAGGTACTGGCTTAAGCATCTTGTTTCTAGTGATTTGTATCTCTTGGTTATCTTGGGGATTTCAGAAGAGAAAGATGAACAAACTGAGAGACAAATTTTTTCAACAAAATGGAGGTCTTTTGTTGAAGCAACAACTTTCTTTACATGAAGGAAATATGGAAACGACTAAAATCTATACTGCAGATGAACTTAAAAAGGCTACTAACAATTATGATGAGAGTAGAATCCTTGGGCGTGGTGGATATGGTACGGTATACAAAGGAATTCTACCGGATGACAAAGAAATTGCCATTAAGAAGTCTAGAATTGTTGATGGCAGTCAAGTTGAGCAATTCATCAACGAGGTGGTTATTCTCTCCCAAATTAACCATAAAAATGTTGTGAGGCTCTTGGGCTGTTGCTTAGAGACTGAAGTCCCAATGTTAGTCTATGAATATGTTACTAATGGAACCTTATACCATCATATTCATGACGAGGGGCATAAAGCTTCAATATCATGGGAAATTCGTTTAAGGATAGCCACAGAAACTGCAGTGGCACTTGCCTATTTGCATTCTGCAGCCTCTCCTCCAATCATTCATAGAGATATTAAATCTGCTAATATACTCTTGGATGATAATTATATGGCCAAAGTGTCCGATTTTGGAGCTTCAAGATTGGTTCCACTAGACCAAACTCAACTCACAACTCTAGTGCAGGGGACGTTGGGGTACTTAGACCCAGAATACTTTCATACAAGTCAATTGACAGAGAAGAGTGATGTTTACAGCTTTGGTATAGTTCTTGTTGAACTACTCACCGGAAGAAAAGCACTTGAATTTGACAGACCCGAAAATGAGAAAAGTTTAGCCGTCCACTTTGTTACTTCAATGAAAGAGGACAATGTTGCGGCGATTTTAGAGGAAAGAGTGTTAAAAGAGTGTAGTAAAGATCAACTTCGACGAGTCACTAAGATTGCAAAGAGATGCCTAAGCGTGAAGGGTGAGGAGAGGCCCACAATGCAAGAAGTGGCCATGGAACTAGAGGGGTTGAGGAGGTCTAACAGACATCCATGGGTGGAACATAATCATGAAGAGGCTGAGTATTTACTTGGTGAGGCTTCGAATCCTTATAGTTGCAACACTACGGGGTATGATAGTTTGACAGATCATGTATTGATTTCATTGGATAGTGGGCGGTGATAGCGTATGCAACATTATTACTTTGTGCTAATCCTCTAAGAATTGCTGATATAGATTATTGACATTGATCGATCTTCCAAAACTGCGATGAGATCGATGTTTTATAACTTTCACAATTTACGCTAGATATCGTTTTATTCCTCATTTTGGCTAGCCTGTGATTTTTCCTTTTTTTTTTTGTTGACAGTCAATATATCTCATAGCCCACTCCATAAATTAAGGGGAAAGGTATAAATTCTTATATTCAGTCTAAACTTATTTCTGTAATAAGTAAATGAATTTTGCAGATCATAAGAACTGGTATTAATTGGGGACCATGAGTTTCTCTCCAATATGAACAGCACAACACGACGGATCATCATAGACTTAAATATGTAGTTTGAAAAATCTTCTCTCATATAAGGCCATGTTTGGGAGTGTTTATGTTAAAAATAAATGCTTAAAAACAAATGCTTATTCTAATAAGTATTTATTTGCATTTGACACCCAATTTTTTCAAACGCTTATTTTAAAAAATAAGCACCTATTTCACATTGGGTGTTTGGTGGTCTTTTCCTCCAATGAGCACTTGTGACTTTTTTGTCCTTCATTTTTCTCCAATAAGTACTTCTAATCCAAAGTGAATGAATAAAAGTACTTTAATAAAAGTATTTTCATAAAGTGCTTTAATAAAAATATTTTCGTAAAAGTGCTTTTAAAAAAATACTTTTAAAGAAGTGCTTTCATGTAAAAAGTACTTTTATAAAAGTGTTTTCATGCAAAAGTACTTTTATGAATAAATTCATCAAGTTGAAAGGGTATAATTGGTATTCTAAAAGTTTACTGAGAACAATTTTGTGAGAAAAATTTTGAATAAATACTTATTGTATAAGAACTTAAAAAAACTGAAATTTTGGGCTTAAAAAATAAGTCCTTATTTTTAAAAATAAGCACTTAATTTGAGATTATTTTTCAAACACCAATGAGTGCTTAATGGTGTGGTCCCAACCCAAATAAGAACTTATTTCGAATAAACACTTATTTTTAAGCAATCCCAAAATGGCCTAAGTCTAGCAATTACCTGTGGTTTACGGTAAATTATATTGTTGAATAGGTCCGAGGAAAAGGTCAATGAAACTTGTGTGATTGTTCATTGGGTTTCATTTGTAAGCATTTCGTTTGAATATCCTACATAATCAGGAGGCAAGTATCATATGTTTTCGCAAGTATGTTGTCAATTTGTTTAGTCTTTCCAAATGGTGAATCTTATTAGAAATCCAGTCTGCCGCTTACTAATTAGCTTTTTTGTCCAATTAAGCAAGTTCAAGTCACCCAGCCATGAATTAGGAACTTCTCCCCCCTGCATAATATTATGCAGAGGATGAGATGTTCTTCTTGTACGTAAATAAAATTCTAGTGGGCAGAAGATCCGGACTCCTTTCACCAAAAACAAGTATAAACAAAAAAAACCAGTAAGGCCTGGTAGCTCTGCCCCCAAAATGGAGACATTAAATACTTGTCTTCTATAATACATCATTTTCCTAGATGGCTAACTACCTATAGCGACATTTTCAGTCCATTTCCTAACGAAATGCTAACAAAAATGTTCATTTGCTTAACTACCTAAGGCTCAGTTTGGAAAGAGTACAAAATAATACAAGATATAATGTCTTGCAGTTCACATATTTGTGTTTGTACTCCTTCTAAACTGAGCCTAATAAGGTTCATTTTGTGGAAGTAAAAGCAAGCCCATATTGATCTACTATTGTTTTTAATTAATTGTATAGAATCAGAAAAAAATCTTAAATATGATTCAATTTTATACAAAACAATCTGTTCGCTAGGTTTGCATCAATTCCGAGTTAGCACTCACCCCAACTGTACTTCAGGCCTAAAAATTTTAACCTTGGGCTGAATCGTCATTCTTCCAAGAATATATTCATGAAATAGTTGTCAAAAAATTTTCTAATTACTCATCTAACGTGCTTGTTGTCAAAAAATTTTCTAATTACCAAATTAATGAAAGAAGGTAATTTACTTTTAAAATTTTATGCATTTTATGTAAATAATTATGTCACAATCGGAAAATCATTTTATTTTATTAGAGTAGCTCTACTGTTTAACGGTGATCACTTTATTTGCCAATGAAACTACAACGTAGTTCAGCCATGGTTTTAAAAAATGACCCTTAAATGGAAATATTCTGGCCACCGGTTTTTGGGTCGACGGTTTAACCAAAAAAGAATAATTAAAAATAAAAATAGCCAAAAATCATTGAATGGGTAGACGGGCTGATGGTTTGATTGCTCGGATCAACAGGTCATTGACCAATTCAACAGTTTTTTTCCAGAGACTGGGTTTCGGATAAAACAGAACCAATTGCCTGAATTGAGTTAGTTTGTTGGAGAATTAATCTCAATCAGTGATAAGAATTGTTAGAGTCCTGGTCACCTCTCTGTTGGCCTCAAGATCCAGAGAGACCAATAAACTCAAAGAGATGACAAAGAAAAAAGCACAGCATAAGCATTCAACAACAATGTCCAGATCTCAGAGTAGAATACAAATAAGTACATATATCTGAATCTGATTTGTTTCAAGTTCGTCAATTGAATGAGCTTAAAATCTTGCATACTCATGAGATCAAACGACGGGAGTGACCAGACTACATTCTCCGAATTATTGTAGCAATCATAACCTATATCGGTTTTGACGCGCAAAGTGCCTGATGATGAGATTTCTAAAACTTCAACGTTTCCATTCGTCCCTAAGAACAGCTTCGGAGGGTTGAAACTGTGGTTGCAGGTTACTTCATACAAATACCTGTAACAATTTTGGTCATCAACCATCCCGAACGGGTAGGGAACGGTGACGTTCCCACATTTCTCCTGGCACCCTGGCTTTGCCATTGATTCAGTTGCCGATGCATATATTGCCGTTGTCGTTGGCCAAAGCACAAGGATTATTTGAAGAAGTAGCAGCATATTAGCAAGAGCCATAGTAGTAAGACTCAGCTACTCAGCTGGTTCATTTGATTTGCTCATACCCTTAGTAATAAGCGAGAAACTTACTGCTAATTAACGCTATCGTGGAAGTGTGAATAAACTCAGACAGGATTAAAAGTCAAGTCGATGGGAGGTATGGGGACCCATTGACAGGTTGACACTTTAAAAGCGATTCTTATTTCTTACCAAACATTCAGAACTCACTTTTATTTCTCACACACACCCAGAGCACAGCACAAAAGCAAAATGCTTATCCAGTTAGTAATAGGCCGTCGTCATTGATTGCATATACTATTTATTGGTGGATTGGTTTTCATTTTAACCCCAAAGTTTACTCCAGTGAATGAGCGGCCACCTTAAAATATTTCATAGATGGATTGATTATCAAGACAGCAATAAAATATTTTGTACATTAATTATTTAATTTGACCATTTAATAAGACAAAGCAATCAATCATTCAGTTCAAGCTAAAAACTGTAATGTTCCACGGATCCCAGTTCTGTCAGTTAACTGGGTGGTTCACCCGTTCAGCCCATAAAAAATCATCATTTAACCGGGACTCAGAAATGCCACCAGCTCCCAGTTTTCGTGGTCAGACTGTTTGGTCTATGCCGAGTCTTAAATTAATGAATATTGTAGAGTGAAAAGTCCAACCTTTTCTTCTTTATTGTCCAATAGGAATACATTAACCTGTTACTTTTTCCAGTTTGAAAAGTCAGCAATAGATCTATTGAGCATTTTCTTTTATCTATGTTTACAATATTAAGTGTTCTGTTTACACACTCCTTAACCCAGTTTAGGAGTGCAAACACGTGCAATAAAAATCTTGTATTTTGTATTATTTTGTGTTGTATTCTTTCCAAACCGAGTCGTACTTCCTTTCCTTCTTGGAACAACTCTTCTGCTAGTCTATGTCCTGAAATTCCATGAGTAATTCTTACCCCATTGTCATGGATGAGGAAATAGGTTGTGATTTTACTCCCCACTAAAACTTACCTGTAGGTTGCACTTCATTCTGGTTAGATTTTGTCTTTTACGTACTATAATGCCAGATAACCAAGGCCCCAGTATTAAATAGGAATTTGAGTGTTCACTCCATATGAAAAAGTGAGAGACGGAGACCTGGTCCACTTGGAAAAGATGTATTTGGTTAAAGTCTTCAGTCTTCTCTTCTAGTCTTATATAAGCATTGACTAATAACTACGTGTGGTTTACGAGAAATTATAACATTGAATAGGAGCCAGAGGAAATGCCAGCCAAAATTGTGTGGTTTCCACTGGGTTTCATTTATAAGAATTTCCATTGGATACTGAAAAGCAGAAAGTAAATGCATTTGGTATATATATATCGTACTTTTAAACAATATATATATATATATATACCACATGCATTTGGGTTCTCATGTATGTATATGAAATTTACAATTGATCTGAGATCGTTGGATGGAATCAGACTTTTTTTAACATCAAAATTTACTTCAACTGGAGGGGCGGTTATCTTAAATTTTATTAACCATTATCAAAAACTAAATAAAAGATAACAGGGGAGGTCATAGCCCACATTACCCCAAAACCAAAATACAAAGTCACCCACTTTCACAAACTCAGCAGTCAGCCCAAACCCAATACATACAATCAGAAATCCAAACTTAATATAGGAACATTGATATAATTCTCTCGACAAACAGTAATGAGAGCTTGAAGAAGGTGAGAGACTATATTTAATATGACCAATCTGTTATCCTCAATATCTTTATTGGCAAGATTAAGGTTTTTAAAATCAATCCGGAGAACGAACCAGTCAGGGGTCCGGTTCCCGGGTCGAACAGTCAGTCCATTTTAACAAAAAAATTAAAAAAAAAATAAAAGTTAGTCAAAACCGTTGAATGGTTTAAATGATTTAAATGATTCAACCTCTCGGATCAATAATTTATTGACCAAATCAACATTTTTTGTCAAAAATCTGATTTTAGAGAAAAACGCCTAACCAATTCCTGATTTTTCCAGTCCAACCATCTAAGTCTGATCTGGTTTTGAAAACCATGGGCAAGATAATCGGCAAGTGTGCATAAAAATAGAATTCATGCCAGTAAGCATTGTTTTCAATTTGTAAAAAATCAACCGAAGGGGAGGAACGTTTGTCTTGCATTGTCACTCTCCA